GTTGGGTGCTGTTAAAAGCATTTCATTTTAAAAGGGAAGTAGAGCGTAAAAGTTTAGAAAATTTGCAGCCTGATGCAGTAGAAAATAAAAACCCATTTTCTTAGGAGAAATGCAAGCCAGCTGCATCAATTTGCAAAGAGCCTAATGTTAATCCCCAGGACCATGAAGAAAATGTCTCCGGGGCATGTCAGAGATCTTCATGGCAGCCCCTCCCTACCACAGGCTCAGAGGCCCAAGAGGAAAAAGTGGTTTTGTGGGCCAGGCCCAAGGTCCCAGTGCTGTGTGCAGCCTAAGGACTTGGTGCCCTGTGTTGCAATCACTCCAGCCATGGCCTGAATGCCCAGGCAAAAATTCACTGCAGGGGCAGGACCCTCATGGAGAACCTCTGCTAGGGCAGTGCAAAAGGGAAATGTGGGGTCAGAACCCCCACACAGAGTCCCTACTGAGGCACTGCCTAGTGGAGCTGTGAGAAGAGGACCCCAGAATGGTAGACCCACTGACAGCTTGCGCCACGCACCTGGAAAAGCCACAGACACTCAATGCCAGCCTATGAAAGCACCAGTAGGGAGGCTGCACCCTGCAAAGCCACAAGAGTGGAGCTGCCCAAGTCCATGGGAACCCACCTGTAGCATCAGTGTGACCTGGATGTGAGACATGGAGTCAAAGGAGATCATTTTGGAGCTTTAAAATTTGACTGCCCTGCTGGATTTCAAAATTGCATGGAGTCTTCCTCCCTTTGGCCAATTTATCCCATTTGGGAAGGCTGTATTTACCCAGTGCCTGTACCCCCATTGTCTCTAGGAACTAACTGGCTTTTCATTTTACAGGCTCATAGGCAGAAAGCCTTACCTTGTCTCAGATGAGATTTTGGACTGTGGAATTTTGAGTTAATGCTGAAATAAGACTTTGGGGGACTGTTGGGGAGGCATAATTTGTTTTGAAATGTGAGGACATGAGATTTGGGAGGGGCCAGGAGCAGAATGATATAGTTTGGCTGTGTCCCCATCCAAATCTCATCTTGAATTGCCATGTGTTGTGGGAGCTGATTGATCATGGGGGCAGGTCTTTCCCATGCTGTTCTCGTGATAGTAGGTGGGTCTCACGAGATCTGATGGTTCTATAAGGGGGAGTTTCCCTGTACAAGCTTGCCCTCTTTGCCTGCTGCCATCTATGTAACTTGGTCCTCCTTGCTTTCCACCATGATTGTGAGGCTTCCCCAGCCACATGGAAATGTAAGTCAGTTAAACCTCTTTCTTTTGTAAATTGCCCAGTCTCAGGTATGTCTTTATCAGCAGTGTGAAGATGAGCTATTATAGCTGGAAACAGACATCCCTGGGTAGATTTTTTTTTTTTTTTGAGACGGAATTTTGGTCTTGTGGCCCAGGCTGTAGTGCAGTAGAGTGATCTTGGCTCACCACAACTCTGCTTCCCAGGTTCAAGCCATTCTCCTGCCTCAGCCTCCCAAGTAGCTGTGATCACAGGCATTTACCACCATGCCCAGCTAATTTTTCATTTTTAGTAGAGATGAGGTTTCTCCATGTTGGTCAGACTGATTTCAAACTACCGACCTCAGGTGATCTGCCCACTTCAGCCTCCCAAAGTGCTGGGATTACAGGCATGAGCCACCATGCCCAGCCCATCTCTGTAGAGCCTTCTAAATACTGAAACATGGGTTTCCCATCCCAGGGTATTCTGGGGACAGACCTGGACATTGGGTATTTATTATTTTTATTTAACTTTTAAGTTCAAGGGTACATGTACAAGTTTTTTTATAGGTAAACTTGTGTCATTAGGGTTTGTTGTAGTTTATTTCATCACCCTGGTGTTAAACCTAGTACTCATCAGTTATCTTCCCGATTCTCTCCCTCCTCCCACCCTTCACCTCCAGTAGGCCCCAATGTATGTAATTTCCATCTATGTGTCCATGTGTTCTCAGAATTTAATGCTCACTTGTAAATGAGAACATGTGGTATTTGGTTTTCTGTTTCTGAATTAGTTTGCTAAGGATAATGACCTCCAGCTCCATCTATGCTCCTGAAAAGGACATGATCCATTCTTTTTTATGGCTGCATAGTATTCCATGGTGTATATGTACCACATTTTCTTTGCACAGTCTACCATTGATGGACTTTTAGGTTGATTTCATGTCTTTGCTATTGTGAATAGTGCAGCAATGAACATGCACATGCATGTATCTTTATGATAGAATGATTTATGTTCCTTTGGGTATATACCCAGTAATGCTAGGTCAAATGGTATGTCTGTTTTTAGGTCTTTGACAAATTACCACACTGTTTTCCACAATAGTTGGACTAATTTACATTTTCACCAACAGTGTAAAAACATTCCTCTTTCTCCATAACCTCACCAGTTTTTCTGGTTTTTTGTTTGTTTTTTTACTTTTAAATAATAGCCATTCTCTAACTGGTATGAGACAACATCTCACTTTGGTTTTGGTTTGCATTCTCTAGTGATCAGTGATGTCAAGCTTTTGATGACCCCAACGTCCAGATGAAAATGCAGCAAACTGACACCTTGATTTCAGTCTTGCTAGGCTACCTTACACGGTATTTAAAATTCCTAGGTTTTTTATTCTTTTCATTTGCTTCTTGGCCGCATACATGTCTTCTTTAGAAAAGTGTCTGTTCATGTCCTTTACCCCCTTTTTAATGAGGTTGCTTGTTTTCATGTAAATGTAAATTCCTTATAGGCACCTTATATTAGACCTTTGTCAGATGCATAGTTTGCAAATACCTTCTCCCATTCTGTAGGTTGTCTGTTTACTGTGTTGATGGCTTCTTTCGTTGTGCAGAAGCTCTTTAGTTAGATCCCATTTGTCAATTTTTGCTTTTATTGCAATTGCTTTTGGCATCTTTGTCATAGAGTTTTGCCCATTTCTATGTCCAAAATGGTATTGCCTAGGTTGTCTTCTAGGGGTTTTATAATTTCGGGTTTTACATTTAAATCTTTAATCCATCTTGAATGATTTTGTGTATGGTGCAAGGAAGGGGTCCAGTTTCAATCTTCTGTATATGGCAAGCCAGTTACAGCACCATTTATTGAATATGGAGTTTTTCCTCATTGCTTTTGTCAGCTTTGTCAAAGATCAGATAGCCATAGGTGTGTGGTCTTGTTTCTGAACTCTCTATTCTGTTTCATTGGTCTATGTATCTGTTTTTATGCCAGTACTATGCTGTTTTGGTTATTGTAGCTCTGCAGTATGGTTTGAATTCAGGTAGCATGATGCCTCCAGCTTTGTTATTTCGGCTTAGGATTGCCTTGGTTTTTCAGGTTCTTTTGGTTACATATGAATTTTAAAACAGTTCTCTGTAGTTCCATGAAGAATGGGTAGTTTAATAGGAATAGCATTGAATCTATAAATGGCTTCGGGTAGTGTTGCCATTTTAACAATATTGATTCTTTCTATCCATGAGCATCGAACATTTTTCCATTTGTTTGTGTGATCTTTGATTTCTTTGTGCAGTGTTTTGTAGTTCTCCTTGTAGAGATCTCTCACCTCCCCAGTTGGCTGTATTCTAAGTATCTTATTCTTTTTGTGGCAATTGTGAATGGGAGCACATTCCTAATTTGGTGCTCTGCTTGACTGTCGTTGATGTACAGGAATGCTAGTAAATTTTTTTATATTGATTTTGTATCCTGAGACTTTGCTGAAGCTGTCAGTTTAAGGAGCTTTTGGGTCGAGACTATGGAGATCATGTTGTCTGCAAATAGGGATATTTTGACTTCCTCTCTTCCTATTTGGATGCTCTTTATTTCTGTCTTTTGCCTAATTGCTCTGGCCAGGACTTTCAATACTATGTTTAATAGGAATGGTCAGAGACGGCATCCTTGCCTTGTGCCAGTTTTCAACGGGAATGACTCTAGCTTTTGCCCATTCAGTATGATATTGGCTATGAGTTTGTCACATGGGTTTATTGAGAGTTTTTAACATGGAGTGTTGAATTTTATCAAAAGCCTTTTCTGCATCTATTGAGATAATCATGTGGTTTTATCTTTAGTTCTGTTTATGTGATGAATCACATTTATTGATTTGTGTATGTTGAACCAATCTTGCATCCCAGGGATAAGGCCTGTTCGATCAAGGTGGGTAAGGTTTTTGATGTGCTGGATTCAGTTTCTCAGTTTTTTGTTTAGAATTTTTGCAATGATATTCATCAAGGATATTGGCTTGAAGTTTTTTTGGTTGTGTCTCTGCCAAGCTTGGTATCAGGATGATGCTGACCTCATAACATGAATTATGGAAGAGTCCTTTCTTTTTTTGAATAGTTTTAGCAGGAATGGTACCAGCTCTTTGTACATCTGGTACAATTCAGCTGTGAATCTGACCGGTCCTGGGACTTTTTTGGTTGGTAGCCTATTTGTTACTGATTCGATTCTGGAGCTCTTTATTGGTTTGTTCCGGGATTCAATTTCCTCCTGGTTCAGTCTTGGGAGGGTGTATATGTCTGGGAACGTATCCATTTCTTCTAGACTTTCTGCTTTATGTGCATGAAGGTGCTCATAGCATTCTCTGATGGTGATTTCTATTTCTGTGGGGTCTATGCTAATATCCTCTTTGTCATTTTTTATTGTGTTTATTTGGATCTTCCCTCCTTTGTTCTTATTAGTATAGCTAGTAGTCTAATTTTTTTTTTCTCAAAAAGCCAACTCTTGGATTTGTTAATCTTTTAAACAGTTTTTTTGTGTCTCAATCTCCAACTCAACTGTGATTTTGGTCATTTCTTGTATTTCTTGTCTTCTGCTGGCTTTGATGTTTGTTTTTTCTTGGTTCTCTAGTACTTCTAGCTGTGATGTTAGGTTGTGAACACCGCCTTAGCTGTGCCCCAGGGATTCTGGTGTGTTGTATCTTTGCTCTCAGTAGCTTCAAAGAACTTGATTTCTGCCTTAATTTTATTATTTACCCCAAAAGTCATTCAGGAGTGGGTTATTCAGTTTCCACATAATTATATGGGTATGAGTGAATTTCTTAGTCTTGATAGCTAACTTGATTGTGCTGTAGTCTGAGAGATTGGTTATCATGATTTCAGTTCTTCTGCATTTGCTGAGGAGTATTTTATTTCCAATTATGTGATTATTTTAGAGTATGTGCAATGTGGTGATGGAAAGAAAGTATCTTCTATTATTTTTGGATAGAGAGTTCTACAGATAGCTATCAGGTTCATTTGATCCAGTGCTGAGTTTTGGTCTTGAAATATCTTTGCTAATTTTCTGCCTTGATGATTGGTCAGTGGGGTGTTGAAATCTCCCACTATTACTGTGTAGGAGTCTACGTCTACTTGAAGGTCTCCAAGAACTTGCTTTATGAATCTGGTTGCTCCTGTGTGGGGTGCATGTATGTTTAGGACAGTTAGGTCTGCTTGTTGAATTGAACCCTTTACCATTCTTTGTCTTTTTAAATCTTGGTTGGTTTAAAGTTTACTTTGTCTGCTATTAGGATTGTAAACCCTCATTTTTTTTGTTTTCCATTTGCTTGGTAAATTTTTCTCCATCCCTTTGTTTTGAGCCTATGGCTATCATTACATGTGAGATAAATCAAGACGACGGGTCTTGGTTCTTTATCCAACTTACCACTCTGTGCCTTTTAATTGGGGGCATTTAGCCCATTTACATTCAAAGTTAATATTGATATATATGGATTGATCCTGTCTTATGTTAGCTGGTTATTATGAAGACTTGTTTATGTGGTTGCTTTATAGTGTCACTTATCTGTGTACTTAAGTGTGTTTTTGTAGTGGCTGGTAACAATCTTTCCTTTCCATATTTAGTGCTTCCTTCAAGAGCTCTTCTAAGTTCTGGTGGTAATGACTTCTCAGAGCATTTGCTTGTTTGAAAACAATCTTATTTTTCCTTTGCTTATGAAGCTTAGTTTGGCCAGATATAAAATTCTGGGTTGGAATTTTTTTAAGAATATTGAATATTGACCCCAATCTCTTCTGGCTTGTAGGGTTTCTGCTGAGAGGTCCACTATTAGTCTGAGGGGCTTCCCTTTGTAGGTAACCTAACCTTTCTTCCTAGCTGCCTTTAACATTTTTTCCTTTCATTACAACCTTGGAGAATCTGATGATTGCGTGTCTCGGGGATAGTCTTCTTGTGAAGTATCTTACTAGGGTTCTCTGCATTTCCTGAATTTGAATATTGGCCTCCCTAGCTAGGTTGGGGAAGTTCTCATAGATGATATCCTGAAATATGTTTTCCAAGTTGCTTACACTTTCTCCATCTCTTTCAGGGACACCAGTGAGTCACAGATTTGGTCTCTTTACATAGTCTTAGACTTTTCAGATTTTTTTTTCATTCTTTTTTTCCCCATGCTTGTCTGACTCTCTTATTTCAGAAAACCGTCTTCAAGCTCAGATCCTTTCCTCCATTTGGTCTATTCTTGTATTAATACTTGTGATTGCATTATTAAATTCTTGTGTTTTTACTATCAGGTATGTTCTTTTCTGTACTGGCTATTTTGCCTTTCACTTCCTATGTCTTTTTATTCTGATTCTCAGCTTCCTTGGATTGGGTTTCAATGTACTCCTACATCTCAGTGATCTTCATTCCTCTCCATATTCTGAATTCTGTCATTTCAGCCATCTCAGCCCAGCTCGGAGCACTTGCTGGAGAGATGGTGCAGTTGTCTGGAGGAAAAATGACACTTTGGCTTTTTGAGTTGTCAGGGTTTGAGTTGTCAGGTTCTTTCTCATCTGTGTGGGCTTGTGTTCCTTCAATCTTTAAAGTTGCTGCCCTTAGATGTTTTTATTTTCTTTTATCCTCTTTGAGGACCTTGGGGGTTTGATTGTGGTATAAGATGGATTCGGCCAACTGGCTTTGTTTCTGGAAGATTTTAGGGGGGCAATGCTCAGCTCCCAACTCTTAGTGTGTGTGCTCTGACTCTGGGGAACTTGTTTTGGGCCCCGACTTTGTTCTCTGACTCTTTGAGGTTAAGGATCCACTGCCCTGGTTGGGGCTGGGGTGCTCTCAGACCACTGGTCACTACCCTCTGATGCATGGTGTCAAAGTGTTTTGTAGTGTGGTGACAGCAAAATCCTTCCTTGTTTGTACATGCCAGCAGTGGCAGCAGTGCAGCAGGGTGGATGCTCATCAGCTGTGGTAGGGTGTTAGCAGGTGCTGGGGTGCCTGGCTCCATGTGTGCATTCACCACAGTGGTGGAGGCCATGCAGTTGGCAGGGCAGGAGGGCGGGGCTGCTGGTTGGTGATCATCACACTGGTGGTTGTGTTGACATGGGGAGCAGGGCACTGGCAGATGCAAGTCTGTGTACATTCCTTTTGCCAGCAGGCAGAGTGGTTGCTCAGCGTGGAGGAAGATCCACTGTCCTGTGCCAAGTTTCACTCCCATGGCAGTGTTGGTGCAAGGGTGGGCACTGGTGGCTGGCTCTGTGCCCACCAAGGCTCTGACTGCAATGGCAGTTGGCAGGGGGCGGGCAGACTATGCTCCTGCTGCAGCAATGGCTGCGCAGGGTGCACGCACACAGGCAAGCTGGCAGGGCAAGGAAGCCAAACCTCCCCGTACATACATACATCAGCAAATCAACGTCAGGGGTTGCCATGGGCCTGGGGGAAACTGCAGTGTGGGGAAGGAGCTTGCATTCTGGTGTGTGGCTATAGAGGCTGCCCTGCTGGAGCTTTCCACCAATCAGGGACCATCCAGCAGCACAGAAGCTATGATATAGGTCCCCAGGGCACCTGAGGCGGCCCTGGAAGCAGGTGCAGTCAGGCTGGGGCCCCAGGAGAGGCCAGCAGACTAAGGGGTGCTCAGGGCTGACCAGACTTATCTGACGAGCAAGACTATCCTGCAGAGTTCAGGCCCGACAGTTTCCCTTGGGCTAAAGTATCCTACCAGAGCAGTCAAGCCTAGGGTCATGACCATCCGTGGCCATGCTTCACTACAGAGGCTCCCGCATCAAATCCTCTGGGCTCCATATCAGCTGACTTGCTGTCCCTATCACTTCTCTAAGCAGCTCTCCCTGCCAACTCAAGTGTCTATGGTGGTCAAGGGGTCTCCTCCTGCTGGGATTCCAGAGGCCCATGGTGAGAGCAGGTTGCTCCTTGTCAGTTCAACTCCTCCATTCCCCTGGAGTTGCTGGGGGTCAGGAACAAGTCCTGGTGTGTGGTAGTCCCGTGCAGCATTCCCAGCTTCCTCCTGCTTCAGCCCAGCTATCGTGCCTTCCTTCTGAAGATCTGTTAGTGTGCCATAGTTTCAGCCCCTCAGTGGCAGCTGCTCCATCTGGCTGCGTCTGGTCAGCCATCTTTCCCTCTCTGTTATGATACTGGGAATTTCAAAAGCTCCCTTCATAATTTTAATGTGAAGCTATGGTTGAGAACTGTTAACATGGATCATCTATAAAAATACATGTTCATAGAAAAATCTGCCATTTGCAGACTCTTACCATGTGCCAGGCATTCTGCTGGGTATTTTACTTATCTCATCAAATCCTCATAACAACTCTATGACATGGGTGCCTTGGAGGCTGAGGTGCAGGGTGGTTGCCCCACATCACCCCAGCAGTAAGAGAAGAGCTGGGATGTGAAACTAGCTGCCTGGCTCCAACGGCCCTTTTCACTCCCTGGCACCGCCATGTCTTCTGACACTGCAAATCAGATATGGGCTGCTTTACACTGGGTCCTGTGGAACATGGGCAGGCCCCTAGCCAGCAGGTCCTGAACGGGAGCTGGGCTGTGCTCCTGACTTTCCAGAGGCCCCACGAAAGGGCTGGTGGCTGTGGAGGCCCTTCTCACCTGTCCTTCAGCTCAGAGCCCTCCTGACCCTTCTGCTCCCATCTCTGCTCCTGCTTGAAGCTGCTGAGAAAGCATTGCTGGCCTTGGAGGGCCCTCCTCACTCCCTAAAGATGAGGAGGTGCTCCACTGCTGTGGGGATGATGGCACAGCTGGAGCTATTTGGTAGGGGCAGACTGGCAAGGGGGAATGGTTTCCCTGGGTCCTCTACCTCCATCACACTTTGGGCCAGGAGGGCTAGACATGATAGGAGATGGGGGTGCTTTCAGAGGTGGTCAGAGAGCTATCAGGATTCTTAGAGACTTTGTCCAGTGTTTTTATTGTGGAGATGGAGGAGCCACACCGAGAGAGCCCAAGGAACTATCCCAAGGCCATCTGGAGACCCAGGGGAATGGGGGTAGCCAAGTTCCCAGTCACCTGCCCATTCGTGCTGGGACACAGCCTTAGAGACTCCAGCTGCACGTAGCCCCCCACCAGTGGAAGCTCAGCCAGGAGGGGTGAGGTGACCTGCCCAGGGTTCCTGAGCAGACTGGAGCAGCAGGGCTGAGGGCTCTGCGATGGGGGACAGCTGCTACAGGAGGCCTGAAGGGCTGCTCCATCCTGGCTCACCCTCCTTTTCAGGGGCCTTGATTGAGACATGCCGTTCCCTTGGAAACAGACCAGCTTGTCTCCTGGGGTCAGCAGCACTTAATCTGCAGTTACTGCAATTTTGATTCTAGTGGGGGAGGGGACCCCAAACTTCCCCTTTACATTCCTCCACCACTCCGTACACCTGCTGCTTCATGAAAGCAGACTTTTCCCCCTAGTTCTCATACTCGGCTTCCCTGTGTGTGCAAGTGTGTGTGCTCATGCGCACACACATGTACACACACAATCTCACAAGCTCAGAGAGGTTTTAATGACTCTGTTTTCTAACCCCCAACTGAAATGAAACAATCATGTCCTTACCAGTCATTCTCCCTTTGTACCCCGAGGTTTCCCAAGAACCAGAATTGGAACACCCTTTTCTTTCCAAAGCTATCTCCATAGCATTATAATCAGTTTAGGTATGGGACGGGGAAAACTGGCCAGATAAAACATTCCTTGCCCCTCCGTCTCCTGAAAGACTTAAACGTGTGCGGGGACAGTCAAGGGTGTGTTGAGGCATTACTTTGGAAACAATGATGGCTTAAATAATCTGTATTACAATTCATCAGCATACACATCACTCCTCGTGGGATTTACACCATTTGAGGGCCAGCTTCCTGTCTGATTCCCTGCTGTGGCTCCCCAGTACCCTGGGGCCCAGTGGGATTGTGCTAAATAAAGATCTTCTGGACTTCAGGAAGACTGAGATGAACATGTTCAGAGCAAAGATGGATATGGTCCCTCCTCCTGTGCTCTGATTCTGACTAGG